TTAAATATAAAACTTATTTTAAACTACAATGTCTCTTCTACGAGTAGATGGGTTCCTTTATTTGGTCACACACGGTAGGGAGATGACTATAACATGACCTGGCCTGGGGAAAGTGTGCAAAGAAAGAGGATCCAAAAGAAGCAGTGGATATGTTTGCCGATGCTTCCTCAGACCTTGTATGTGTGGCAACTTTCCCAGATCTGACCTTGTAGTAATGATCTGACCTCATGAGGGTACCCTCTGAAATTACTTCGGCACTACTTACCCTCCAGTCCATGTGAGTTAGCATGCCCCTTTAATGTGTTGACCTCGCGCAAGTCTCAACTGTTACTCTGTGCCCAAGGATCCAATATCTAGTATTCTTCAAACTTTTTCTGGTTTCGTTTTTCAAATTATGCTTATGTATCTTAACTTTTCGACTTCTTGTTCCTTTAATAACTTCTAACGTTGTTTTTATATCTGATGTTTTTCTTTCATGTTTTTAAATGCTTTCTTATAATAACTTTTGTACCTGTCTTATCTTTCTCTTTTACTTATTTTCGACTACAATTTTCTTCTACGGTCATGGGTTCCTCTATCTGGCCACACATAGTAGGGAGATGAAGTGACATTGACTAGGAAACTGTGCCATAGAGAGGACCCACTAGAAGAAGGGGAATTTTATGTGGTCACTTTCTCAGACCTTGTTTCTGCTGCAACCCAGATATTGTTTGGCCTGTCCTCAAGAGCACCCTCTCAAATTACAGTGGCAGTTTTTACCCTCCAGACCACGTGAACCAGTGTACCGCTTTAATGTGTTGACCTGGCGCAAGTTGTGACGGTTACTCAATGCCCAAGGATAAGCATTCTTGAATTTTTTTCTAAATTGCATGTTTTCTCAAATTGTAAGTAACGTTGTTTACGTTTCATGCCTTTAATAGCTTTTTTGTATTGGTTATTTTATACTAAAATCTGCGTTTTTTATTTATTTCTATGCTATTTTTAAATTTAATTCTTATATGTATATGTATCTTTCTTATATGTATTTGGTTGTACAAATTTTTCTTTTCAGTTTTTGTAGAAATGTCTTTTGTATTTGTGTTTTCATATTTTTTATATAGCTTGTGCAATCTATATTTTTTTTGTGGCGATGGAAATGGACAGCTATAACAGGCCACACATCATGTGAGATTTTTAGAACATGACCTGGAGATGGAAAATTTGTCAAATAGAGAAACATAAAAGAGGAAAGATAATAAAGAATGATATATTGCCACCTTTTTACGACTTTCATTTGTGGCAGTTCTCTCCTCTGTGCCTATTAAAGTGTGGGTACTTTTGGCATTTTTTAAACTTCCAGTGTCCTTGCTCCTATTGTGTTGACCTGGGGTAAGCTGTAGTTGTTCTTCCACAAAGATCTGATTCAATTTTTTTTTTCTTTTGTTTAATTTGAGCTT